TCCCGCCCGCGCCTCCCGCGCCGTGACGAACGTTACCGGGGGAAATAAATACACAAAAAACCCTAATCACAGAGTGATGTGCAAGTACCCCACGGGACGGGCGGAACGCAGCTATCGTTTGTCAGAGCAAGCGGCGCCGGTTCTCCTCCCAGCCACTGCCCGCCGTACGCCCCTCGAACGTCCGGATTGCACCGCCTGCAGTGCCTTCGCAGCGGAAAATACAGAGAAAACGGCACCAGCTGCAGGGCTGCAAGCGACCGAACTGCTGGGCTAACGCCGCTCCTGGGTACTGCAAAAACCAGCCACAGACATGTTCATCGCAATAAGCGTAATGATGATAACTCCCCTCCTCGAGACAGACGCAGAACTTCTGTTAACGGCAACGATGTCATTTCCAGGTGGGAGAGAAGTTACTGAGAACAGTGTAGAAGCACAGAGACTAAAGAACCACAATTAATACTCCCTTTGTAAGCACAAACGCCGTCAAATCATCTCGGCAGGAAGCCAGCACCACAGCCCTTTCTACCAACGATGTCGCTGAAGCTCTGACCCACAAGAAACTGTAGCTGACGGAGGTGGACGCCCACGTGGCCCTCACGCAGACGGCTCCAGATCCAGGAGAAATCACTTTTTCCCTTCTGGTGCACCAGAATTTCTGTATGTACTCTGGCGAGATAAAACTGTACGGGGCATACCTTACCTGCTGCAAAAGACGGAACAGCAGCCTGATCCAGCTTTTATCAACCACATCTGCAAGCAACCTCAATTTTAATGCCAAAAATGCCAAGAGATGCTACCAACACTCAGACTCTGGCAACCACAGCTTATCCCATATGAGATGGACTTACAGAAAAGATTTAAAGACTTAAATCAAGATTAAGCCACATTAGGACAGTCAAACACAGCATGTTCTACCTTTTCCCTGACAAATTTCACAGGGCCAAAACCTTTCCAGACTTGTTCCTCCCTCTTCTATATCCCCTTCCACATATCCCAACCCCTCAGTAATCTCTTATTTCATGAAGACTTTGGAAATGTGTGGGTAGAGGACTTATATTTAGCAGTTTTGGTCTCCCTCTCCGCAGCCTAGTATCCACATGAAAGTTCTTCTTAACTGTAATTGGTATGACTTCGTGAACGGGAGCAGAGTTTGTGATACTAATACCAAATAATTAAATTCATCTGTTTCATACCTATTTTTCACTTCCTCGCCTTCACCCAAGACAAATTTGACATGTAAGGTAGTATGAGTAAAGGCTAATGTGTGGGTAACACAAGAGAGGCCCATGAAAAGAAAGCTCCTTTCCATTCCAGCTCTAAACGTGTTCGTGTGCTTCCCCATCTCTGCACAGCTCCGAGCCCCGTGCATCCCACCTTATTTCTCAGCCACCGACTCCCTCGCTCACCAGTTTCACGCACTTACGCATTCTGACAGCCTCTGCAACGCAGCCAGACCCTCAGGCTTCCTTTTTGATCTGACTTCAATAAAACATCAATTCCCATGTAAGGAGATTTTGCAACTTGTATTACTGTTTATGACTCCTGTTGCATTACACTTCCAGAGATCACAGTTTTGCATACTTAAAATTGTATCAGTTTCTTACCATGGTATTTCATCTATAAAAATGCACCTGACACTAAGTTTCCATGGAAAAGTAAAGTATCAGTTTGACATCACTTTCCTGGTGCTGGTGAGGGTATGGAAGCCGTGGCTGAGAATGTGAAAGACTGCCAATACACAAAGTAAAATGCGCCAAGGTGCAAAGTGAAGGCTTTAGGTGGTTCCTTGTTTTTGTTTTGTTGTTGTCTGGGTTTTGTTTTGTTTTCTTTTTTTTTTTTCTTCTTCTTCTTGGAATACAATTGAGTCTACACTGTAGAAATTGGCAGAAATACAGTTTTTCTATTACAAATTCAACAAAGCACTGAAGCTGAGCTCCAGGGAAACATCTGCTGTAGCACACACTTGTGTAGGTGACGTTTGCAAAAAATATGGGAAACAAACCCATATTTTGGTAAAAAAAACCCAAACAACAAAGTAAGGACATGTAAGAATTCTGGCCTAGTAATTTATTGCAACACATACAATATACCAAAACAAGGAAAAATGCTGCTATTAATGCATATTCACAGAAGTTCACCAGCAGAACATGCGGATGCCGTGTTCTGCATTTCTGAGGCTGTGCAACCCGCAACTGTGTTAAATTTCTGCATTCCAGAAATTTAACTTTTACTTTTCTACCAGATATTTTTAGTTGTTGTAGCTGCAAACACAATCTTGAACAAAGTCGCAGGATGTAGTCTTCACAAATGTGGAAACAGAGTGAAAAATTAGCTTTCAGAGATATTAACACTTGACAGAAATGTAATAGGGATCACTAGGTTGCCAGTATTGTTTCCTCTGTGACCATTCCGGCAAAAAGCTTGCAGTAAATAGATCTTTTCACATCTCAAACCTACCTCCTTTGCACTTGCATGAGGATGCTGCAGTGCTTCGCCAATGCACTGCTATTTCAAGATCTTTTTCCCAGGGGATGCATCCTGCTTCTCCTCACAGGCTGGACTGCAGACCTGAGCTCAGTCCCTTGCGAGGGGCTGCTGTCATGCGAGTACCAACTTCTGTTACCTCCCTTCAGCGGGGAGGGAAACATGCACTGAGAAGAAAGATCAACAGATGGAGAACTTGGGGATGGGGACCACAATGCCCTGAGGCATTGGAACATTTCTGAACTGAGATACTCCACTGACCTGCCCTATGGAAAAAAACCAAAACAAACCAAAACACAACACCTCCCTCACTAGTGTGATTTCTTTTTTTGCACACAAAGTGACTTTTATCAAATCTAATCACTAACCCCAGCAACCACA